GTAATTAACGCCTTTTAGTATAATTTAAAACGCAATTTTATGCAGATTTGATTAACCAGCGAACCGTGATAGGTGTCTAGTCCAAACGATCGAAGTACTCACATACTTAGTACATATCGCACCCTCGGTGCAACAAAATCACAACACGTCATTGTGTAATTTTACAGGAACGGACTTTTAAGTTTTTTTTCGATCAATTTTCCTTTTTTCTAGATTACTACCTACAGCAGCCGGGATATCTCATTAAAATTATATTATTTGTTCTTTTAACTACAGTATCATGTAAAAAGATTTCTTTGATTTTATTAGAAAATTGAAAAAAAAAGGAAACAAAAAAAAGTCGTAACTTGTGACTATGTCGCACCAGGTCCAATATAATTTAATTATTTGATCGTTATAATGGCACTTTGTTATTTCAATATACGTGAATAAAAATTGTCATTAATACCTTTAAGCTGGTGTAGCTCCAAATCACGACTGACTCATGCGGGCGCGGGGTCACTACTTACCAATCATACTCTGTTCTCCCAATATTCGTCGAAAAAGTAGCAAGAACGACAAAGGCACTAATGCCATCTATCGATATATTCAAATACTTTCGCGGCTGTCTTTGATTTCCCAAACGAAGAAATGGTTTATAGACAATTTGGCATACTTAAGTCATTTTGGCAATTTTGCCTACTTGTGACTTTGTTGCACCGAGGGTGCGATATGTTTATTGGGTAGGCTCCCTCCTTGACGGTATTTGTATTGTAGGTATAGTAATTGCCTGCCTGTCTAGTGACTCGTCAACGGTTCGTCCACACGGCTAAACAGCTTTATGAACGGTTTAATAGGTTTCGCCTTGCAAAATATATCATATAAATACACAGCTGGCCTCAACTAGAATGATTGCGATAAGTATTTTGCGATTAAATTTTAAGCGGACTTTATATATTTACAATATGCGAGTATTTCACAAAAGTAACGTACGTAAGAATTTCACTTATTTACCTACTATAAGCAAATAAATTATTTGGATTTAAAATAAGCATCTAAAGAAAAATTGAAAGGGTCATATAATAAATATGACCTTTTCATGTATGTCTCAATTTTTAAACTGCTTATTTATACTACATTAATATTTACAATAATTAATATTTACTTGGTATTGTAAAATCAATATTCGTTTCAGGTTATCCCTTTGCATTCTTCTCACGTCTATTAAGTAGACAAAATAAACATGCATATTTTGCGCTTTGAGACTGTTCAATGAGCAATTACTTCTCTGCCCACCACACGCCACGTTCTCATTTTCCACAATTATGACTTCTATGATTAGAGTGCCTATCTTCTAGTTGACAGAACATCATTATCAACAGCCTTTCATAGTCCGCTGCTCTACGTAGACCTCTCCTTAGAAAGGAGATTTTGGCCTACTATGCCACGCTGGCCAGACAGGGTGGTATAAGCTTTGTTTCAAGTTTTCCTTCTCTTTGCAGTGCTGTTGTCCTGCGTAGTTTCCTTCCTTAGTCGGCTCCTGATTCCGTATCTTAAATCCGTCACCACACGGACATTGACTGTACACTATACTTCAACTAGATACCTTCTTTGATAACCATTAATGTTAACCATTGATGTCTAGATCGTAGATTAGATAGAGTGATTATTGTTCTTTTTTTATTCGTTTCTTACTTAGTCATTTAAAAAAGAATATCATCGTCTCTTAATGCATGTAGCTGAAATACGAATGTCAGGAATGGTAGGAATTACCTACCTTATTGACTAAAATTATATTCAAGAATAAATTATTAATATCATTGTATTTTGATCAATGAAGAAACTTTTCAAATCTATGCATAAGTACGGAACATATAATACGCAGTATTATTTATGTGATTGATATACGTAGCGGGTGTAATTCGCAATGCATAGATCTGGTTAGATTAAGCCACTAGCGTTGATACCTTGCCTTTGAAGGGTTATCAACGCTAGTGGCTCGATGTTGGGTAAATTATAACATAAATTAATAACCTGAAGATTATGAACAGTAATTATCTTGGTGTGATTGGTGTAACATTATAAGAGTACATGCTATTAAGGTGCGGTTTGCTTAGGGTTGATGGGGCATGATATACCATTGCAGCCAATACCTAATACTTTATTGCGTTTAACAATGTTTTATTGGATCATCTTATCTTACAAAGCGAAGTAGAATGGATAACAGCACATTAGCGTTTTCCAACTTGATAAAAAAAAAATTGACTGGATGATGGTATTGATCTTTCTTTAAACAATATTTTTAATCCCTTTGTACATATTGTAGACTTATGTTTATTTCCTTTCATAAATAATCAAAAGCAAATGTCAAATACACTTCATCAATATTGTTACAAACTTAGTAATATTTATTCTAAATAAATGTTATGATTGCAAGAAAAATATATATTGTAGATTGGCATGTTAATAATGCTTTCAATTAAAAAAAATGGGAAGTAAAAGGAAATATGGCTCTGGACTACCGCACAATCTTTATAACATTTCTACTCTGTTGGAAGTTAGTTGAAAATTGCTGTCTTTTGTGCTGAATGATATATACGATTTAGTTTTTACTTTAGACCACATGCTGCTGATGTCCAGACAGGCTTAAAATAACTCCCTTGATTTAATCACCCTTTATTATAGTGCGACATGCGAAATCAAAATGCAAATTCATTGTCCCCGCTTACACTAATATTCGATATTGCCGATTCCCGTTATTGTTGCATAAAACTTTCATGGATTTCCATCTTGATAAATACGCTGGTTCCTAGTTTGGATGCTAACATTATTTCATTATGTTCTAATACAAGTAACTAATTGTGACGCATCACGCGATCGCGCTTTTAGTAAACCTTCAGATTGCTGAGGCAGCAATAGTTTAGAGAATGAATTGTTGTGATTTATTCAAACGTCTAAAGCCCCCTACAACATGGAAGGTTAACGTGTGTTAATTATTTACACATTATTCTTCAAGCCCATCGAAACGCAAGAAATAAAAAGGTGTGGTCGAATTATCAAGAGCATAGCAAGAAAATAATTGTAATTCTGATGATGTGTACTGTGACTTTCTAGTAATTTTTTTTTTGCGAAGTATCCTATATCTAAGACCAGTTGTTAACCTTAGCTGCAGGACAAAAACGTGTGAACAGGTTTTTTTTTAGCAGTTCTAATCGTCAGTAAACAATTTTAAATCACTGTTGTGATTACAATATTGTAAGGTGTATTCCTCTAACAAAATACAGGAATGGTATTTAATTTCGAGACAATTTAACACATTGTAACGAAGGTAGCAGCACAAACTATGACAAAACTGTAATGAACTGTACTTTGTCACTACCTGCCTGCAGGAGATTAAAATTCTACTTGAACTAAAACAAAGCACAAAGTTAACTCGTTAGCACCCTTATCTCTTTAGTAGTACTCTATGGAACGAACTCGTTTAATATGTCGCATTAATAACACAAATTGAGATCGGCGAAAAGATAATCTTTTGAAAATAGGTTCAAAAGATTATCTTTTTTTAGATACCTTTTTAATAACCGGATTATAATTTAAATTATACTATAAAATTAATTATTAGTTAATTATATTTTAGTATCTGCAATACAGTGTAATTAAGGTTATGGGTAATGACGAATACTTCTTAATTAATATCAGTGTTTTATTAAATAATATACTTAATAAATAAAAGACAAATACACAAAAGTTTTTTGATGCTATTCATACATAATTAAATATCGACCAAAAGTAGTTATTTGTGTGAATGTTAAATTTTTTTAAGTCGATCAAGTCCCATTAGAAAAATATTTTTGCAAATGTTCCTTTTGACTTACTAGACTTTATATTCTTTATTAAATGTGCGATTTTCATTTTTCTATCTCGAACTTTATCTTTGTTAAACTTTAATTTAGTGTATAACAAGCAATAATGTACTTAAGGAAGTACAATAATTTTTAAATCTACTACTGGTAGATGTACTTATTTCATCTCGTTTAGCTGATATTCTGTGGGATTATCCGGTATCCGGGACTCCGTTTGCTATGTAGAATGACTTAGACAATTTAGAACGCTTTTGGAGTTTGTCAAATTGTGACTAAAAAGTGTTGACACTTTGCAACACCTTGCTTTAATGGGTTAAAACCGTGGTTAAAACAATTTAATCTTTATTTAAGACAATCTCTTGATTGCTCCTGTGTTTATCAAGTACATTTAAGTACAGACGCTGTGCTGCGCTTAATTCTTTCGTGCTCTTTATTCGTTAGCAACTAACAGCTGTAGTAATTTTATAGCATGTCATTAATGCTCACAGAAATATGTTGAGTACTTCGCACTACTTAAGTGCCGTTTCGTTATTCACTGTTCACATAATCGTAAAGATTCTCATTGTATCTGATATAACACTCTCACATATTGTGATGTCATTTTTTTTAGTTCTAAGGGTTAATTAGTTTGCGTGACACCAATCAAACTGGTTATAAATGTATGAATTTGTATCTGCTCAGGGCGATAAATGGATCATTTGCTACAGATAGGCCTAAAGCCATGAAACTGGCCTGATGTTGTTCAACTTGCATAAAAGATAAAACTTTTTGCATCGCACAACAACATCTGTAGAACAAATCGCCTGCGGTCTTACCGATACCACTTTCAAGTCTGCAAGAAAAGGTCATTTCAAAGACCGGCTATGCACTTGTGACTCCTTAGTTGCCGGTTTCATTGGCAGCTTCCGTTTGCTCGTTTGCCACAATATCATTAAAAAAACTTAATAGAGTGTCTGTATGTAGGTTGTTTCATGGGTAAACCAAGTGACATAAACTGCAATAAGCAGGCGTTATTAGATTTTAAAACAGAAATTAATTAATGAATGAAATAAAATATTTAAAAAAAAAAAATATTTCTGATCTAATTTCCTTTTATTTATTTTTTGTAATTATTAATTTAAAATAATTAATGTTCAGCTGTCGTTTCGATGTTTACAGAAGCAGAGTGCGACGGCTGTGGCAGAGATGGCGACGAAGGACGCAACGTCAGTGAGCTACTGCTACCTCAGTATGCCCTGGCGACTGGTGGGTTGGCCAAGGACCACCGGCCGCTCATCACCTTCCCCGATAACAATAACTTCCACTTCATCACGCCAAGCGAATATCGCAGGCTACTTCTCTACCTCACTTCAGTGCCCTCGTAAGTATCAGCTTTAATAATGATAGTTAATTAAACTTTTTATTCTATCACATGTTATTTGGTCTTTGGACTGTCCGAATGGCGTAGTGGTTTGAGCGGTCACCTCGCCGCTTCCTACTGCACTGAGTATTGTGGGTTTGATCGGTCTCCACATGAACAACACTTTGTGTTATCCACAAATTGTTGTTCTGGGTCTGGGTGTTCTTTGTGACCGTTTCAAAAACATTTGTAAAGTCCCCTGCGGCACAAGATATTCCTAGTGCGACAGTTGTCTCTTTTAATTAGAAAAAGAAGAGGAATAAGATTAACTCTGTCTGTAATTAGGTACATTAAGCGGGTGTTACAGAAAGGTGTATGGTTCAATTTGTTAGTTACAAATTAATATTTCTGTAATAAAAATCATGGATTTTTTTCTAAAATTGTTAGCGCTTACGTGTTTCTTACTATTCGACTTTTGATCTTTTTGTAATACTCTGTATATAGGTACGTGGAGATGTCTCTTCAGAACCATATTTTATTGACTATCCTAGGTAGAATTTAAAATAAAATATCAAAGAGTCGGTTTCAATAATGACTGGTCCAGAGCCATAAGCTCATGAGTTATTTAGTAAAATGCGATCGATACCAGACTGAATCCGTAATAGGTTCTAACAAATAGACGATAATGACCACAAAACCATGCATTATACATTTTACTCGTAGTATTGATTTTATTTCACATTCATTTCAGGTTATTGGAAGCAGATATGGGCTTCCACATAATAATAGATCGAAGAAAAGACAGATGGAATTCTGTCAAAACAGTATTATTAAGAATCTCCGTAAGTATCCATTTAAATACGCGTACAATAGGTTAATATGCATTTTCACTTCAAGGTTTTTAGTAGCTTTGCTCTTAAGGTAAATTAAAGAGCAAGTGTTAGGAAACCCTCCTAAAACAGTTGTAAGGGTAGTTCCGAATGAAAGGAAAAGAATTTGCATAAAATTACTTTCCTAAATGAATAAAGGTATTTTACCACAGATCTTATTACGAGTAGCAATCAGCAGAGTTTACATTTGTTTTAGTAGTATTTTATAAAAGATAGCAGATAGGTTTAGATAGTATTCACAAAATGTATTCTGCAGTACAGTAGATACTAGTACATGGACACATTTTTTTGTTGTAATGATATAATTACAATCCTTACTTAGTTGATTTTTAAGCAAAGGTATAATTTTGAGAACGAGTATTTGAATAGTAAAGCGTAGGTCTACTAAAACGCGTGTATTCTCGACCAAATTTCCGGTCCCATTGATTAGATAAACCTACTGTAGCGAAATTTCGTATACGCTGTAAGAGCCATCTTGTACACCAAAATAGTTACTTATACATTGTAACTTGATTGAACTTGATGCCAAATTATGATTTGTTCCCTTTTTATTGATAAAAAGTTAAATTGCGTTATAACGTTTATGTTTTTGATTTGATTACTTAAACACGCATGGTCGCACATACAATACGGCAATAACACAATAAATTTGTAAAAAAAATTTTTTTTGCTTTCTAGGAATTTTTTCCAGGCATAATTCACACTGTATTCGTTTTGAGACCAGCAAGTTTTCTACAGAAAGCTCTATCGGAAGTCAGTAGTAAGCTATTCAAAGAGGAGTTCCGGTTCAGGGTGCTGGTATGTTCTTCAGTTGAGGAGTTGTATGAGCACTTCGATAGGACACAGCTTACGCCGGACCTCGGTGGGGAACTACAGTATTCACACGCTGAGTGGATACAGCAACGGATAGTAAGTTATCACTCAAATTACATGCACTTTAATTATTTTTTATTATTATTTATTTATTAGGGTTAACAACAGTCCTTAAAAATAAATATTACAGTTTAAATTTCTACAATCAGGTGAAACCAATTAATGTTAACCACGTATGCAATTTTGATTTTAATAAAAATTGCCCAGACTTTGTCACAGCAAAAATGTAAAAAAAATAAATTTGAAGCCAAAACATAAAATATTAAAACTAATAAATTAAATTACAACTAAAAGAACAGTGAGATAATATTCTAGGCAAGCAGTGTGCTGAACAGAGTGTGTGTGTGTGGTGCGTGTATGTGTGTGTGTTGTGCGTGTATGTGTGTGTGTGTGTGTTGTGCGTGTACATATGTGTGTGTGTGTATGTGCGCTACAATATACTACATAGCATTACATAGCCCTCAGAATAACCAAAAAAGCGAAACAACGTCCCACCCAACGAGATCCACATTTAACCTAATCACACTTTAGCTTGAGTGCCCGCTTGCGTATTCGTTATCAGCGTCTTAAACCTACTTTTACTGTTCGAGAATAAATCTATGTCTTTAAATTCGGTGTTATAGGTTATTACAATTCTGGAGAGAACAGAGTTCTTGGCATAATTTGTAGAACGTAAGGGCGCAACCAAGAGCCTGGTATGTCTTGTTCGTGTTCGAGGTACACTAAAGTAGATATTTGCTAGCAATGCAGGACAATCAAGTCGATTTCGTACAATATCGTACAGAAAACATACATCTAGCATTCGCCGGCGCTCTTCCAACGTCAAAATCTTATGTCCGCGACAACTGTCCACGTAAGAGGAGTAGCGTTGCTGAGTTTTGAAGTTAAGATGCATAATGAATTTTTTTTGTATTGATTCTATACGATTAGTATATATACTATAACAAGGATTCCATATGGGACACGCATATTCTATTATGCTACGTACATATGCAAAGTAAACAACTTTAAGACTTAGTGAGCACTGAAATGGTTTGCATGTTCTTAATACAAACCCTAAGTTACGGTAAGCCCTTTGTACTACCTTTTCCACATGGTAAGATAAAAGCAACTGGGAATCGAAGAATACCCCAAGATCGCGCACCAGGTTGACCCTCTCTATTACATTGTTGTTAAAATTGTATGGAAAGTTAATTGGTTGCCTTTTGCGAGTAAAACTGACAGTTTGACATTTACTAATACTAATAGAGATTCTGTTACGTGAATAATATTCTTGAAGTGCATTTAAATCCTGCTGGAGTCTTACGCAGTCATCAACCTTGTGTATGGGTGCATAGATTTTTTTATCGTCCGCGTACATTATGTGTTTGGCGAATTTAAAACAGTCAGAGATGTCATAAATATATGCATTATAAAAGAGGGGGCCAAGATGCGAGCCCTGAGGCACACCAGAAGGGATTGAGGTGTAATCTGACCTATAACCACTCATCACGACAGCCTGCGAGCGATTCAGTAGATCGGTGATCGGACCCACCGTAATAAGTCCCCATGTATACCTAGTTCCTGTAATTTTCGAAGCAATATGTCATGATCTACGCGATCAAAAGCCTTTTCAAAATCAGTGTAGATGACGTCCACCTGACCACCCCCATCCATGTTAGTTAATACGTAGTCGGAAAACAATGCTAAGTTGGTAACAGTGGAGCGTCCTTTAAGAAATCCGTGCTGGTAGTGGGGTATGCCTTGTGATAGTGTTGGATAAATTTGTTTATAAATAAGTTTTTCAAAAATCTTACTAATCGTATTTAATATAGAGATTGGTCGGTAATTTTCAATAGATGAGCGTGACCCCTTTTTATGTATGGGGATAATTTGAGCGTTTTTCCATATTGATGGAAAAATACACTCTTTCAGGGATCTACGAAAAAGGTAAGATAGTGGCAAAGCTAAGGATTTTGCACATGAAGATAAGAAAATCGGTGGAACACCATCGGAGCCTGCGCCTTTGTTTTTATCTAATGAGGATAACAATTTATATACTAAATCTTCTTTTATTTCTATATGTGATAATATATCTTGGTTTTGATATTTAATAGTAGATAAATCTGGGGTATTATTAGTAACGTTCATTGGACTTATAAAGACACTCTCAAAAAATTTATTGAACGCAGAACTAATTAAGTGCCCCTCAGTGTATTCTATATTGTTTAGTTTGAACTTCTTAGGATAGCTAGAGCAACCCTTTTTAGATTTTACATAGGTCCAAAAGTATTTTGGGTTAATAAACTAATGACCTATATTGTTTACGCTAAAAAAAAAATCACTACTACATATTCAGGTAATTTAAATGAACTACCCCGACTGTTATCTAGTGCAACGGGATACCGTTAGCGAATCCACATTGAACACGGCATCGTGAATCGCGCTATTGAAGTTTTCCGGTTCAAAATCATATAGAGGAAAGACAAAGTTTACTGAGGTCAATCGTTCTGTGATGTATAAACCTTGCGCACTGAACTTTGTGTAGAGATTTGGGAAATTTCATACTGTGCTGATCGCCTTTATGAAATACTGAGAACAATTGACCCTAAATTAGTAATTATATTAAATGATAAAGTTATTATTTATTTTTTATAGGTTTCTAACTACCAAAAATCTTCAGGTTTATTTGCATACAGGGAGAGGTTTAATTAATTTTAAACTGTCAGAGTACTAATTCTCGATCGTATGTAAATATCTTCGATGTATATTATATTATATATTATAAAACAATGATTTAAAAATATTTTTTGTTAGATTAAAGGCACTTTGAGTGTTTTTAGTTTATTGCGGTTTTTTAAGTTCGTGTGCATTTTATTTCAGGCATTGGAAAAATTTTCTACCCTGATGAAGGAGATCTCCAGTAAACTAGACGAGTTTATGCATGAGATTGTAGACTGCGATATGGGAAACGATCCCACACAAACCAAAGAATTATTAGACTCTCAGGAATCTAGGTAAGTATACATAATAAACTCTCGTTATTATAAATTTAACGCCAGGAAAAAATAAACAATCCACCAATAGATTTTTCTTAACTTTTTATTTCGCTATTAAGAGATCTTTTTATATATAAAATATAATATAATATTTTACCACATTCGCACAACGTCATCTAGTCCCAAACTATGCGTACTTGACAACTGATATAAATACATATATATATTTTTTTAGTAAATACATATGTACATATTTCACATAGAAACACCCAGACTAAATTAAACATTAAATGTTCATGCACACAAATGTTTGACCTGAGCGGGAATCGAACCCGCGACCTTTGGAATAGCAGTCTGTTACACAAACCCCTACGCCATCCGGTCGTCATAACATAATTATGATATACAGTATTTGAACCGTAGAACCTCTTATTTTGGGTAGTTGTTTAGGTAATGACTACACACCTGTATACACTATACTTACCATGTATGCGCATAATTATGTACACCAACGAGAACATTCACACATACAGATGCCTGTTTTTATATTTATCATAACATGACACCGCGACGCAGGGAATATTTACCGCTCGCGTAAAAGATTTTCTTTTTCTCCTTCGTTCACATTTTTTGATGATAAGACAAGATGATGCTAATTATATGTAGTCTTATGTAATTAGCATCATCATAATGACTCCTACTTATACTGAACTAGATTTTACCCGGAGCTTTGTTCCCGTCACATAAATAGTCCCGTCAAAGTGAACAGGATTGCTTTAAGGATGTATTGAAGTATGTAAGGAAAAGCTCGAAAATCCTATTTTGGCGTACTTTAACTCGAGTTAGCTGTGTACGAAGTAATAACTTTAATATTTCTAAAATATTTCAGGTATAATGCTTTAAAGTCAGATCTGGCGTGGGCTACAACGCAAGGCGAAGACTTACTGGCGCAAGTACGGAAACCAAATCTTACTTATAATATAATCAGCCACGTCGCTGCAGTTGAAAGGTATTCTGTTCCAATATGTAAATAATATTTTACCTTAATATTCCAGTATATGATTAAGATGATGAGATGGTGTGTAGGTATCGTGTTCAAACTTCACAAATCACATGGAAATTAACTAGCTCCTTTTAAGACATTTTTTGTAACTCGTTAGCAATGACATAACGCGGCAAGAGCATCGTGCTAATATTCTTCTGAATCTCGGGATATTATGTGTTTGATAGTTCTACATAAAATTTATAACTACTACTAAGTATTCCCTATCTATTGCAATAAAATAATGTAATTTAGTACTTTAGAAATATGATGTATTCACTGTATTATTTTTTAGATTACTGGTTCAACTGGACGAGACTGAAAAACAATTTGACAACTCCTGGCAAAAACATTCCACGAAGCTAAACCACTGGCTGAAATTCAGAACGTTTTTATTAAACTTTAAACAGATGCAGGTAATCTTTGCTTAATGTAACTTACTAGAAAAAAGGTACGGTCGCGAACTTTAATATTGAAGACATTTTGTAACGGATAGTAAATTACTTATAATGTAAGAAAGTAAAAAAAATATATAAAAATCGCCTTGATGCTCTTTGCTGAAAACGTATTTTCGCATATGATACAATGTATTATACTTTATTCAACGATAAATAAAAAAAAAATGAAATTTAAAGTGCCCGACTGTACCTATACATTTAAAAATTATATCATTAAATATTTTCTTAGAATAATACATATACACCAGCATTTGAAGATTTTTACTTATATGTACATCACAATTATTACGATATCACAAGCAGTTGTTAAGATTTTACCGGCCTGAAGTGAAAATGTGATGTTTGTTTATTTCGGTTTCGAAAGTCGAACATCGGTGTCTTCGGTGAGCAAATTCGATGTGGATCATCATCATCCTTGGCAGGTCGGAAGATAAAATCTGAAGACGCCCTTTTTGCAACTAAATCAGATATATCCATGCATTTTTCCTGATTGTCAACTGCACCGAAATTCCGAATGTCTTTTCTCTTTTGAGAGTCCAACTGAAAAGTCAACTTCTGTATTTTCCTAGATTTATCCTCTAGGCGTGCCTTCATATCCTCAGCTTGTTTACTCCTCTTGCTACATTCCGATTGCAAAGAATTAATTTTACGTTTGCATGTCTCTAATTCGGCTTTTAATTTCTGTAAGTTCAATGTATTTATTTCTTCCATACACTGAAGTTTTTCTCTTGCATGTTTCGCAACGCTCTCCTGGTATAAAGTTTCCTGTTCCACTTGATAAGCCCAGAAAGACATAGCTCGCATAGCAATATCCATAATTGTATCTGGTCTCATACCTGCGAGAACTATAGATTTAAAAGTTTCGTTAGGTTTAAGATCAGCTTGAATAACATCAAATTTATCTCGTAGTTCTGCTCCACATGCTGGACAAGTCAACGAGTTTTCAGCAGTTCTTTTGAATTCTCTTTTACCATGCTCAACACAGAATGCGTGTGAACATGTTGTCACCCACGCTTGACTTGATAAGGACTTTCTGCATTTACGAAAGTTACACACTATTTCCATTGCCATTCCTTTTTGTTTTATCTCTTAAATATAAAACATCAATATCAAAACAAATACTATTTGAGGTTATGTTATTGTGTGACAAGAATGTCAAATTCTTTTTTTTTTTTCTGCCTTGACATTTTTTTTAAATATTTTAGCGATGGTATTTTATCTAATTAATAAAAACCTTTTTGCTACACGCATTTTAAAGAATATTAATTTAAAAATATTTTTATAAAATAATGTAATTATCTTATAATACATATTGTCACTTATTTACTTATGCAGGCTGCTCTTGACAATCATCTAAAGATGGCATGCGACATGACTGAGGTGGGCGAGACAGCAAGTAGGGTAGACAGCCTTTTACAGGAAGCAGGCGATTTTGAGAAACTTTGCAACTGTGATCTTGAAACTGCAACTTCGGTTATTGAAGACGGTACGTGTTTACTTACGATAATTATGAATGTGTTTACATATAAAAAAATAAAATGCTTCTAATTTTAAAAAGCTGTTGAATAAAAATACTTATCTATTCTTTGTTTTATATCATTATACTTGTAGGCTGCTAGAGTAAATTTTGGCAGTTTGGAAAATTGCGGAAACTAAATTACGGCGACTTTTTTGTTTTGTTTACAGGAGAAACATTAATGAAAGACCCATTGAGTTCAGTGGATCACATTGAATCAAAATGTGAAGAACTGAGAAGAACCAGCGCTTTACTCGTAGAGAAGATACAAAAACGAAATCTACTTCTGACCAAAACTAGGGAACTCATGGACAGGATAGATAAGGTATTTATCAGTATATTCTATGCTTATTGATATGAATAGATATGAATAGACTATCAAAAGCTCTAAAGACATCGAAAGAAAATAGTGTTCAACTGTTGGCCATTAAGTTCCGTTCCGCTAACGCTGTGTGTCAGCTTTTGTCGATGACACTAGAAGCGATTTGCTGCGCTGTAAAAACAAGCTAATTATTGAAAAAACAAAACACCCGACTGCGTGAAAAAATCCGCGTGCCAAACATTTGAATTTTCGCCAAAAATCTGGCATTTTGTTTTTTTTTTTATTTTGATATACCCAGTGACACTGTACACTCACTCTCACATTAAATACGAATCTAACGACACCTCTCAAGCTAAAATCCATAGTTCCATTCAGGCCGCAGAGCGTGCCAAACAATTATACAAACATACATATAAACATACTCTCAAAAAACATAACCCTCCTTCCGGCGCAGTCGGTTAAAAAGAAAAGTATTTTTTATTTTGTAGTTATAAATGATTTAATACAATTTTAAACACTTGACACAATATTTAGAATGTTATTTAGAAAATAAATAAGTTTATTGAAAATGAAATCTAAATATTAAAAAATAATGTTATGTAACATCTTTACAAATTATAAAATGAAGTCGCTTTAGGCCTAAAGCCTAAAAAATGAATAAAGATGTCCTATAGTATAGACTTATCATATTAATAGTATAATTAATTACTCCACACTGACACCACATCAGTATGTAGGATGTGAGGAACGTGTGTCATGTCCCTCCAACACAAAGGGAGGATCCTCCGACCAGGCGTAGTTCGGCGTGCCCTCGATAGATGACGATGTAGTATGTTTCCGTTTCTTTGTATGTTTGAGTCGCCACAAGTAATATCTGTGTACATTGCACTCTTGAGAAGCCGGGCGGTTCGCTAGTTTTAAATAAAATGATGTTAAGGTTCGACTAATATAAGCAAGATCTCTTTGTTCGTCATTATCATAAGAAGTTTTGAAGCCAACTATTCTAAAATTGGCCTAAATAATATAATTTTTTACAAGTAGTAGTAGAAACTAGTAAAGTATTGGCCTTGCAACCGAATTCCTTAACTAAATATTTTTTAGGCAAACGACTGGTGTGCAAATGGAGTGGAACTTCTTGCCAGCGAAGGCGGATTGACAGCAGTGGATAAGTTGATTGAGGATGCCCAGACCTTTGGCCTGACAGGTCCTGACCAGTTCAGAGATATGCTCATGCACTCCGCCACGCAAGAGACCAGAGCGCTTGTCACACAGGTAATCCTGAATGATTTTAATTCTGAATTTAACTTTATCCGTCCATTAGTTTTCATAATAAATAAATAGGCAAAGGAAAGAAATTAGAGAGCCCTAAACAGTTTTTTTTTCATTTATTTATTTACGATGATCTATGTATTGACCTATTCTTATTCTTACATAATTTAGCAATAATTTAAAGAGCACATAAATATGTAAGCATAAGGGTATAAAACAAACCGGTCAAATACATGTCGGGCCACGCATATTATAGGATTCCGCAGCTTATAGCCCATTTCAAGCAAGTAACAACTTCATCTAATTCATTTCACCAGAGCTAACTTAGCCATGACACTTTTCCGTCACTGAATCGTGACACACTGTGGGAAAGACGAGAAAAAAAAAAGATTTCCATTTTACATGTCCTCTCCTACACGTAAAATAGGAATAATTTTTTTTGTCGCCGTTTCGTTGTATCGACGCTTCATACAGATGTCGTTATCAGGTGGCGCAACGAGTGGAAGACGTGTGGCTGATGGTGTCGGTGAAACGCGCCACATTGCAGCGCGCGGCCGCCAAACCAGCGCGGCCCGTGCAGTCCGTGCCGCCGCAGAGCGCTTCGGCACCTGCCCTTACCAACCACAAGGTCAGTCAACACTATTGGATTTGTCAAAACGTTTTTGACATAAGTGACGTCTTAAAAATAAACAGCGTTAAATATTGCTTAATTAATTTGACAGTGTGTAAAAAAATTACCTACATGTACGCTAAACGGACGCATTGCCAACATTCTCTCTGGATTTGATAAGAGTCCAGAAAGTAGAAGTACATTTATATAATGTAATATTAGGAAATATTTTTTTATGTAGCAGGTTACTTGTAATTATGCACAAAAACACATTATATTATACTAGTGGTAAAGGTCACACGAATAGAGTAAAATCAAATTATAATAAAATAACTCCACCTATGCTACGGTGTTTTGGGCATCAAGAATATAATAAAATAAAATTAAATAATATGAATTTGGAGATTTGTATGAAAATTTTAAAATATAAAAATTTAGGTAATTTTTTTAGTGAATGAGGTGTTGAATTTTTTCCCACAAAAAAACGTTTAAATTTAAAAAAAAATAGAAATCTGTTGGGCAAGGACCGGTGAGTACGGTACGGTACGGCTTTGCGATGGTCGTCAAGTGTGAGCTCGCGCGTTGTCGTGGAGAAGCAACGGGGAAGAGCGATTGAGTAGTCGTGGTTGTTTAATAGAAAGTTTCTCCATCATTGTTTGCAATTCTTGGCAATAGGCATGCATCTGCCGTCACTGTTATGCCACTCGGTAAGCAGCTGTGATACACAATCCGGCACTACTAGTACTCCACCAGACAGTTTTTTTTTATATGACTCGCGCCCTAGGAATATATCTTGTGTCGCGGGGGACTTTACAAACATTCATGAAACGGACACAAAGAACACTGGGACTCAGATCAACAATTTGTAGATCATATAAAGTGTTGTCCCATGTGGGGATCGAACCCACATTACTCAGCGCAGTAGGAAGCGGCGAGGTGAGGTGGCTTAAACCACTACGCCATCCGTGCAGTCAAAACAGTCACTGTCATCTTCATATTGGTTAGCTTTTTGGTAGCGCACTGATTACGTCCTTTACCCGGGTCCAACCTCTGGGACGAACGCATACGGTTGACGTATAGGATCCATTCATTCGATTCAGAATTCCCTCGTTTCTATGCCGATTCTGTAGTACAATGCATGCATGCTTCGACGCGTAAGTTTCAATGATGGTCGCTTAGTTCTTGTGGCACCCACTTATTTAGTTTTCTTATCTTTCCGATTTGACGCAAGTGCTTCAATGTTGTTTTGACACTAACTCCAAAGCCTGCAGCAAGCTCAGTCGTAGATTGAGTTGGATCCGCCTTCACTATCGCCTTCAATTTGTCGTTGTCGACTATATACTAAATTCAAAAAGCATTATGACTTGATGTTAGTCACCTGATCTATATAAATAATCATAATATTTTCACACATTTCACATTTCAAACGTTTTAAGTATTAATCAAGGAAGCTGTTTGGGTATAACCATTTTAATCGTATCCGTTAATACACTTATTCGAAGACTTTTAATTGGATTTACACTTTGTATTTGTAATTAATAATTTTTGGAAGGTCATCTGCGTTAGTTGCACTTGAAAACATTTTTTTAACAATAAAATGAACAAATAATACAACAATACAATAATAAGTTGAATCATCAACAGCCTTTAATAGCCCACTGCTGGAAATGGGCCTCTCCTTAGACTAGAGGTTTTGGCCTACTATACCACGCTTGCCAGACGGGTGGTTAACCTATAGGATGGGTTTCAAGTTTTCTCTCTCTCTCTTCCCTTTCTTCATCTTCTTTTCTTAAAGTTGAATATTTATCTAAAACAGACCATGCATTATCGTACATAGGTTGAAACGCAAATTAAAAATGGTCTGTAAGAACATCCACACAACGGTTATATTGAAATGAAATAATGAGCATAGCACATAAAATAGCGCGACATTAATTAAAACGATTTTTTCATAGTGTTTATACTACTATTAAATTGCTGTAAATTTTGCATTTTAAGAGAAGTTTATTGCGTGAAGTAATTAGTCTCATGTGTTCTAAAAATAACCTCAAAGGGGTTCACTAATTTATTCTAGTATTAGTGCAATCATCATCGACGATAGGTATATTATTGTATACCCCGCTCATAAGTACTAGCATTTGTCATTTAACACTATAGATTTAGCTCTCATGCCAAGATTTGACAAATATTTCGAACGCTACATATTTTACACGACAGCCCAGAAAATATTAAAAATATAATGTGGCTATTGAAAAATTAAAAATATGTCGGCTTTATGGAGCGTAATTATTTTTTTTGAAGTTGGTAGTTGCGTTTTAATTTTTATATTAGTGAATACTGTAAACGATTACATAATCAGCGTAGACTCGTTAATTAATTACGGACGATATAACTTAATTTAAAACTGAGAAATGTAGGTATTATTAAAAATATACTAGGTAATAAATTTGCCGAAATTTGTCGAATTTATTTATGAATCGAAATAATAGTAAACAATTTATTTAAATACGTTAGTTGTAACTTTATAATAAAAAATAAACTATCCATACTAATATTATAAATGCAAACGAGTTTCTGTCTATCTGTTACCTCTTCTGCCTCTTCACGCTTAAACCGCTGAACTGATTTATATAAAATTTGGTAGTTTGATTCTTGAGTAAGGTCATAAGCTTTTTTTTATCACGATAACCGACATACACACGGGCGGAGTCGCGAGCAAAAGCTAGTCTTGTATAAACCAATCTTCTAACCACATAAGCAGGAAAGCTGTCATACAACGCTTCCGGCAATAAAACAGTCTCGTTATCGTTAATGAAGACATGAATCACGGAATTATTACAGATTGCTCACAAAATGGAGGTAATCTACGCTGTGGCATCGCGTAGAAAGCGCACGCGCAGAGGTCGCTTATGGCGCATGTCAAAGAACAGCTTTCATACCACATGAGTGGTAATGTCTGACGTCACGTATGTGTAATAATTATATTTTCTATTGCAGAATAACGTACCACATATGGAAGTCATACATATATAATTTATTGTAGCTACGTTATGATGATGAGATGACATTACTTTTTTTGACATTGATTGCTCGAATGGTGTCATGCTTTATAGCACCCGGTCATTGACAGATTGATATTGAAATTTTGAACGTGGATTAATTAACTAGAGATCTAAGTCATTACACATATATGAACATCTTACTTTAAAAAAATCTGCTCCCAAAACTCAACTAATTTGTTAAGTGTGATTTGATGCTTGTATTCGCCAAATGAAATACTCCGTAAAATCATATAAAACATTGGTTTATATAGATTACTAGCTGACCCGGCAAACGTTGTTCTGCCGTATACATTATTTCTAGGAATTATAAAAAAATAAAAATTTAGGGGTGACCCACCCTTGTTATTTAGGGGTATCAAAAATAGATGGTGGCTGATTCTCAGACCTACCCGATGTGCACACAAAATTTCATAAAATTCGGTCCAGCCGTTTCGGAGGAGTATGGTAACTAACATTGTGACACGAGAATTTTATATATACGATTTCTATAACGCGTTAACGTTTTAACGGGGTCTAACTGCTGCATCTTGTTTCCGAGTGGAAAAAAGAGACAGATGATAAAGTTCTAAAGGCCTAGTGCGAGTTTATTCCCTCGCACTCGATGGCGAGCATGTTCGGCGTTGCGATTGGTGAAGATTTTAGTGATTATCGAGTAGACGTAAAATAAACTCGCCTTTAGCCCTCAGTTCATGTAATTAGAAAACTCAGCGTTTCGGATATAATCGCTTGAAAATTTGTATTACTGTTAATAGTCCCGTAGACCTCAGTCGATGACTTTAAAACAAATTTTGTTTGCTCTATTTTTAAACAATTTTATAAAAGGAGGAAAATAGAAGAGTGTGCTGATTGCTTACGGTTTTTATATGTATGAGTCAGCTACCTCCGCCTTGATTTCAACATATTTTGTTTTGTCTCGAAAAAAAATAAACATCCAACTGAATAAATTAAGAACCTCCTCCTTTTATTGAAGTCAGCCAAAAACGGCCTCATGAATATCTAGTGCAACTTTAAAAGCAAAAAGTCTAAATTTGTTTGTATAATTTTATCAATGTTTATGTAAATATACATGGCGTTATACTAATTTTACACTTTAATTTTTTTATTTTGCATCTGCATATTTGATATTTTATTTGATTCATGAACACGATTGTATGTATGATTGTAAATAATAAAACTTAACGATTATCTATATCTTTGAAGTCCGTAAAAGACCCTTGGTTTTTTAAATATATTTAAGTTCCTTGCTTATCCTATATCTCTTATCCTCCTTTCTTAAAGCCAGCAACGCGCTTGAGACTCCTGAGTTGCAGGCGTTCATAGGCGGCGGTAGTCACTTTCCATCAAGTTGCCCCCTTTAATAAAAAACTTTTAATAAAACGTCTATGATGTTTTATAGAGAGATCGTTGCGAAAACGGTCACTAACTAAAAAGCTGTGTCAAATGAATGCACAGTTGTATTCTGAAGAGATTCATGTTCAACGGTACAAATATATCTATAATTTTAATTTATATTAGTGCTTTCAAAACACCTCATCTATTGTCTCTATCAAGTTCTAAGGAATTTGTAGGTAATGGTCTATCTTCTATTGTTTTCCAAAGAGCTAACAATGATTGTGACTTATAAGTACCTACTTGTCGTTTATAATTAAAATAAATGACCCGTCCCGCAAACGCAGTCGGGTAGTGTCACACTTTCATTTCATCTCCGCTTTCTGTAATGTACACAGCTTTAGTAGGTAGTGACTAACGGTAACCTATATCCCCTTAGCGATAACTAACCTACAGAGATTGATGCGACTACTACAAACTTAGGTCATTAGATAAACAACGATATATTCCACGTAATGTATTTATTTATTGGACTATAAAAAATGTACTTATGTCGAAGGGAACTATAATTTATTGTTACTTCATTAAAATACAAGTTTCGTTGGAATTTATTGTAAGCAATGTTCAAAGATTGGATTGCGGATCTGTCCTAATTTATAGATTATTTTAATAGTGGACATAAACAGGGTTAGTGTTCGATATATTTGGGCTTTCTAGGTTCGGAATCAATGGGTTTCGTGATATAATAGATCTAAATATAAATATATTTTAATATTTAAAGGAGAATCGCAATTGCGGTCAACCTTACTAATTAATCAAT